ATGATCTCTCTCTATATCATTCTTCCGTACGTTTTCAGCATCTTGTTTGAAAGAAAATAATTACAAGTTTAGATACTTAAAATTGAAATAGATTCTTCTCTATGATATAAAATAATTAATGGATTAAAAGCAATATTCTCATCAATGTCTACTAGTAAACTATAAAAGTACGTACGTACAAAACAATGCTTTTTTTTCAGTACATCTGGGTAAGTCAACATAAAATATACAACTAATCTGAATCTTGACTGCACGGATGGCGTAGTGGTTTAAGCGGTCGCCACGCCGCTTCCCAATGCGCCGAATGTTGTGGGTCAAACCCCACATGTAACGACACTTTGTGTGATCCACAAATTGTTGTTCTGAGTCTGGGTGTTCTTTGTGTCCGTTTCATGTATGTTTGTACAGTCCCCCGCGACACAGGATATATTCCTAATGCGGGAGTTGTCTTTAAAAAAAAAAAAAACTCGGCTTAGACAATGTTAGTTTTCAATTAAGTGTTGTATTTTTATAAGTTTAGTTCAAAGACAACATGAAACATTAAATTAGTCAATCTGTTAAAAAAAAATATTCAAAATATAATTCGAGCTTGAAATTTTATTTGGGATTGTCGCAATGTATAACATTATACGTGCTTAAGCCCTTTTTTCCTATGGCTTGTCTGATGCCAACTTTATTATATTCTTACTACTAAAGAAATGGAACAGTAGCGTTAGATTCGAGTCAAAGCCATTTACGAACACAATTAACACGGGTAGGGTAAACTTGGAAACATTTCAAGAAAATTTAACTTTTAACTGTTTTTGTACAAATTAAATGATGTCGAATTTATTCTGGCCTTGATTTAACAGAGTTGAATCTCTAAGCGAATATTAACATAATAAAGAAATTCTTTAAGTTTGTTTTAATATTGTTACATCTCAGGTAGATCATTTTCTGTTTTTTGTTTAATAAAACTCTTATTTATTATTTCTAGTACACTTTTATTTTCCTTTTTCTAAAGTATCGAGACATGTTCCGGCCTGTTCGTTTAATGGTTAGTAAACGATCAATTCGATCTCACTCAGGAAAAATTATTGTGTGATGCACACGGTCATTTGTTCTATATCTGGGTGTAATTTATCTATAATATACATATGTCCTTAGATATATTTAAGTAGGCAGCCGTGTGTGAGATGTGAAAAGTTGTTATTCCATATTATTAGCTATATTTCCAAGTC